AAGAGGCAAAACACAAAATCACACAGGAGAACCAGAAAGGGCGCAAGAGGGCAACTGAAACCAGCCAGAGCACAGCTGAGAAGACCCCAGCAGCAGCCTCGCCTATCCCCGTCGGGGCCCGGACACTGACAAGGAACCAGCTAGGTGGGCCTCTTGGAGCCAGTTTGGTGCAGTGGTTAAGGGCAGGCGGACTCTAATCTGGGTGAACCGGGTCTGATTCACCCACTCCTCCTCCACTCGCACCTGGCTGGGTGACCTTGGGCAAGCCGCAGTTCTGTCAGAGCTGTTCCTGAAAAAGAGCCGTTTCTGTCAAGAGCTCTCTCAGCCCCACCTACCTCACAGGGGGTGTCTGTTGTGGGGAGGGGAAGGGAAAAGGAGTTTGTCAGCCGCTCTGAGACACATTCGGGTAGTGAAGGGCCTTGGGGTATGAATCCAATCTCCTCCTCCTCCTCCTCCTCCTCCTCCTCTTCTTCTTCTTCTTCTTCTTCTTCTTCTTCTTCTTCTTCTTCTTCTACTACTTCTTCTTCTTCTTCTTCTTCTTGGAGGCAGAGGGGATCTCACAGCCCTCCTTCAGGGACCCAGGGCTCCTCAGAGCTTCAGAGGTCAACCAACAACTCACCATGACCAGACACACCATCTGCTCTGATGCCTGGCTTAAGCATGGCAAATTGGAGAGGGTCTAAGGTATTCAGGCGGTGGGTTCCAAGGAGGTGCTCTTCAGGAGTCCTGTCCCCTTTTCAGGATTGGGGGAACTGGCCCATCAAGCCCCGTGGCCAACCAGTGCCTCTGGAGAGCCAACAAACAGGGCATAGAGGCCTTCCCTGGATCTTACTTCCTAGAAGTCGACTGACTCTGAATATGGAGGTTTCTTTTACTCACCGTGGCCAGAAGCCACTGAGAGACCCTTTTCTCCGTGAATCTGTCCAACCCCCTCTCAGAGGCATCCGTGCCTGTGGTCATCGCCACGTCCACCTGGAATGAAGGACCCAGCGCATCTGCTCGTTGGGTGAAGAACTATTTCCTTGTGTCTGTCCTCAAGCTATTGTCCGCCATCATCATTGGGTGCCCCAAAATTCTACTATTATGGGGGAGGGAAGTGTTATGGGAGAGGGACAAAACGTTCTCTCTTCTTTCTCAACCGCACACATAATTTTATAAACCTCTAACATGTCCAAAAAAACACCCAACCACATTGTCTCCTTTCTCAACTGAGAAGTCCCAGCGACTCTTCAACCTGTTCCTCCTGGGGAAGGGGCTCCCACCCCCCTCATCCTCTCGGCTGCCCTCCTCTGTACCTTTCCCAGCCCTGCAATGTCCTTTGGGAGAGACGGGGACCAGAACTGTACACAGTACTCCAAGTGAGGCTGCACCATAGATCTCTACGGGGGCATTTCAGTCTCTTTCCGAATAACCCGTAACATAGAGGTTTGCCTTTTCAACTGCTGCAGCCCACGGGGTTGACACTTTCATGGAGCTATCCACTACGGCCTTGACATCGAAGGAGGCATTTGTCAGCAGCTTTCACTTGGATGGCAGGTTTTTCCTCCTGCTATAAACATAAAGCTATATGTTCGTTTTGTAAAAACCTCCAATGGCTTCCAATGCTCCCTCTAAGCTGTGGAGTCTTGTGAGCAAAAAATTCTACTTGGTGAGCTACTGGCATTAAAGCTGTGAGCCAGCAATTTGGCCACTGCATAAATGATTTTGCTCTGGAGCCCTCCTTCCTGAGCTAGGACAAAAATGGGTGAGCTGGAGGCTAAAAAAACTGTGAGCTGGCTCACACTGACTCAGCTTAGACTGAGAACACTGGCGGCTTCCCAATAGGATAAACTGAAGTGGAGGAGCTTCACAGTTTTCTCACTTGTGGAGAGAGATGTCTTTTAGGACGCAATGAGGGGCGTAGTATATCCAGGACCTCATGATCTATTTACACAGATCTGGAACGTTTCGCTGGACGCTTTTTTCTCTCTCCTTTAATCTATTGTTTGTACTGTTCCGACAGAGTTTGTTGATTGTTTTTCATTGTACAGTGTTTTGTACTAAGGTATATAAATATACACAAGTATGAGTCGAATTTAACCACTGTATTTGTTGGATAAGAACATTATTGCTTGTGAAGAGAATCGCTTCGCCTATGCCATTGTCCCATGTAAATCCCCTTCAGTCCAGGATCTGGGGAAGAAGAAGAAGAAGAGGAGGAGGAGGAGGAGGAGGAGGAGGAGGAGGAAGAGGACGACGACGACGACATTGGATTTATACCCTGCCCTTCACTACCCAAAGGAGTTTCAGAGCAGCTTACCATCTCCTTTCCCTTCCCCTCCCCACAACAGACACCCTGTGAGGTGGGTGGGGCTGAGAGAGCTCTTGACAGAAACGGCTCTTTTTTTCAAGAACAGCTCTTATCAGAACTATGACTTGCACAAGGTCATCCAGTAGCTGCAAGTGGAGGAGGAGTGGGGAATCAAACCCGGTTCTCCCAGATTAGAGTCTGCACACTTAACCACTGCACCAAACTGGAAGAAACAGTAAAAAGAGGGGTCACCTCCTCCTTGCAGGCAAAGACGTGGGGCCCCATCACCCTTGGCTCCAGCCCCAAACAGGTTTGGCCTCCTGTCTCATAGGCAGTTTCATACCCAGTTCAGAGGATGCAAATTCAAGGGAAGGAGCCCTGGGAACTCCCAGCGTCCTCTTGCTCAACCGTGGACACCCTCCAGACTCCACCCAGGCTGGGAAGGGTTTATAAACCGGCCAGCGTGGACCAGCAGAGGCACTTTCAATAGACTCTTCTGCAAGTAGCGCCATGGCACCCAGGATCCTCTCCCTCCTCCTCCTCGTGGGACTCCTCTCCATCTGGGCTGGGATGCCGACTGCAACGGAAGCACGAGGTACATGGGGAGACCCCCCCCCCACCCACTCCCCCAATGGGCCTGTGTTGTCAGAGGTGGATTTTTGGAAGCCCTGCCCCCCCCACACACACACACACCATCCAGGGCAACGTGGAGCAGGTGGTGTTTCCTGTCCATGTTACATCTATCCAGCAAGACAGAAGGTTAAGGCTTCCACGGGTTTTGTTGGAACTCCGATTGGCGATTTGGTTTTTCTAAGATGTATCTTAACTATGTCGCACGGCGCCCTGAGCCCTCTGGGGGAGGTCGGTTCAGACACGGAGATAATAAATACATAGATAAATGAATGACTGTTTCCCCCCGGTGGAATCATTCTAGCAATGCGTAATCTTGGCAGTTCCCCAGTGACCAGGGATGGGGCCTGGGGATCCCCCGGAATTCCAGCTCCTCTCCAGACTGCAGAGAGATCATTTCCTGGGGGAAATGGCGGCTTTGGAGGGAGGGACTCTCTGTGGTCCCCGCCCTCCCCTGGCTCCACCCCCCAATCTCCAGGACTTTCCCGACCTGGATCTGGCAACCCTGCCCCCCCTCCCCGCTGGTGGCTGGGCTGGCAGCAACTCCAGAGCTCCCAGGGTTTCATCCCGGGTTGCCAGGCTCCAGGTGGGACCTGGAGATCTTGTGGGATTACAGCCGGTTGCTCATGAGCCTGGTGTGCCCTTCTGGGCTAAGGGGCAATGCAGGCTGAGGCAGGGACAGCTGAAAAGGCCATGCTCGATGCTCGCTGGCAGCTAAGAAGACCACTCCCCCGGTGTGGGGGGGGGGAGGCTGTGGCTCCTGCGCTTTCATGCCAGGATGACAAGGATTGTTGGGCATGGAATAGATTTTCTCTCTTAAGAATGCAGGTAAGAACATCATGCCATGAAGCTACAATGCAGGAGCAAGTTGGCAACCGTTTAATGTCTAATAAGTTGGCCTCTAGCCATAGATAGTCGAGTTTTATTCTATTGAACGAGGGTTATCTTGTAAATAGCCTGTCAGGGGGAGTGGGGGGGTGTTGGGTGTGGTGTGTTGCACGCATATAAGTAGGGATCCGGCCCTGCTAGAGTTGTCTTTTAGAGTTAACTGAAATCACTTTAATAAATATGAGCTGATCACTAACGCGTCTGAGCCCAGTATATTTCAGTTTTCTTATGGCCTATTGCTTGTGCTCCTAGAGTGGTTCCTGTTTGCCATACACTCCTTATAATTTGAACCAGTTAAATAAACGTACAATGTATTTAACCCTTTGGGTCAGGAGCACTTGCTGACAGTCTGCACGTACCCACAGAGGGGAACCCAGAAGCTGAACAGCCTCAGACAAAGGTCCAACACACTATCTTTGGTGCCAGTCTGAGAGCCAGTCTGGTGTAGTACTTAGGATCATGGACTCTCATCCGGGAGAACCGGGTCTGATTCCCCACCCCTCCTCTACTTGCACCTGGCTGGATGACCTTGGGCAAGCCGTAGTTCTGATAAGAGCTGTCCATAGAAAAGAGCAGTTCCTGTCAGGAGCTCTCTCAGCCCCACCCACCTCACAGGGTGTCTGTTGTGGGGAGGGGAAGGGAAAGGAAAGGAATTTGTAAGCCGCTCTGAAACTCCAAGGGAAGGGTGGGGTATAAATCTAATCTCTTCTTCTTCTTCTTCTTCTTCTTCTCCTATGAGGCTTCTAGGGGTCTTGGGTGGCTGTGGTTTCAGTGCCTGAGAATGGGACCCAGGGTGTCCTAGATCCTTACAGAACACCACAGCTAGAGTTGCTGTCTCCAGGTTATGAAATTCCTGGAGATTTGGGGATAGCACATAGGAAGGGTGGGGTTCAGATAGAGGAGGGTCCGCAGCAGGGTGTTAGGCCACAGAACCCACCCTCCAAAGCAGCCATTTGCTCCAGGAGAACTGGGCTGGGCTGAGCTCTGTGGCCTAGAGAGCCATTGTAATTCTGGGAGATCTCCAGGTTTCGCCTGGAGATTGGCAACCTTACCCACAGAATCCCCTCCACCCCAGGTTGGCAGGCAAAACCAGCTGTCCCGGCTGGCAGCCGTGCACACATGCCCTCTTGTGCCTGCTGCCTGGAATGGTCCCCCCTCCCCTTGCCTCTCAGCCCTTCTGTGCTCCTTCCAGTGCATCCCGGAAGATGCCCCAAGCCTACTGGCGGTGGAGTCTGTGCGGACATGTGCAAGAGAGACAGCGACTGTCGTGCAGATGAAAAATGCTGCTTCAATGGCTGTGGCCGCAATTGCATGAAGGCCATTAGAGGTAAGGGAAGTCCACGGCACTGAACAGAAGAACATAAGAGAAGCCAATGTTGGATGAGGCCCGTGGCCCCTCCAGTCCAACACTCTGGGTCACACAGTGGCCAGAAACACCAGGTGGTCCAGCAGTAGGTCTAGCAGTGGGGCCTAACCCTAACCCTGGCAGTGGGGCCAGGAGGACACTAGAAGCCCTCCCAGTCTTGCCCCCCCCAAGCACCAAGAAGACAGAGCATCCCTTGCCCCAGACTGAGAGTTCCTACCTATACCTTGTGGCTAATAGCCGCTGATGGACCTCTGCTCCACATGCTTATCCAATTCCCTCTAACAAGAATATAAGAGACGCCAATGTTGGATCAGGCCAAAGGCCCCTCCAGTCCAACACTCTGTGTCACACAGTGACCAAAAACACCAGGGGCCATCAGGAGGTCCAGCAGTGGGGCCAGGAGGACACCAGAAGCCCCTCCCACGGTTGACCCCCCCCCAAGCACCACGAAGACAGAGCATCCCTTGCCCCAGAGCCCCTGTCTATAACTTGTGGCTAAGAGCCACCGATGGACTTCTGCTGATGCCACTGATGCCACAGCCTGGCCTCTGGAACAGGGGCCACCAGGGTACAAGGTGGGAATTTGACCCATGGGAGCTCTGCAGGACAGCTGTACACTGAGGGGCCGTGGCTCAGTGGCAGAGCCTCTGCTTGGCATGCAGAAGGTCCCAGGTTCAATCCCCGGCAGCATCTCCAGTTAAAAGGACCAGGCAGGAGGTGATGGGGAAGACCTCCACCTGAGACCCTGGAGAGCTATGGGAAGGGGCTGTGGCTCAGTGACAGAACATCTGCTTGGCATGCAGGAGGTCCCAGGTTCCATCCCTGGCAGCATCTCCAGTTAGAAGGACCAGGCAGGAGGTGATGGGAAAGACCTCTTTGCCCGAGACCCTGTTGGGCTGCAGCCCGTTTAAGTGGGCCAAACTGTCTTAAGAACATAAGAACATAAGTGGAGGGTCCGCAGTGGGGTGTAAGGCCACCAAACCCACCCTCCAGGGCAGCCATTTGCTCCAGGAGAACTGGTCTGGGTTGAGCTCTGTGGCCTAGAGATCCATTGTAATTCTGGGAGATCTCCTGGTCTCGCCTGGAGATTGGCAACCTTACCCACAGAATCCCCTCCACCCCAGGTTGGCAGGCAAAACCAGCTGTCCCGGCTGGCAGCCGTGCACACATGCCCTCTTGTGCCTGCTGCCTGGAATGGTCCCCCCTCCCCTTGCCTCTCAGCCCTTCTGTGCTCCTTCCAGTGCATCCCGGAAGATGCCCCAAGCCTACTGGCGGTGGAGTCTGTGCGGACATGTGCAAGAGAGACAGCGACTGTCGTGCAGATGAAAAATGCTGCTTCAATGGCTGTGGCCGCAATTGCATGAAGGCCATTAGAGGTAAGGGAAGTCCACGGCACTGAACAGAAGAACATAAGAGAAGCCAATGTTGGATGAGGCCCGTGGCCCCTCCAGTCCAACACTCTGGGTCACACAGTGGCCAGAAACACCAGGTGGTCCAGCAGTAGGTCTAGCAGTGGGGCCTAACCCTAACCCTGGCAGTGGGGCCAGGAGGACACTAGAAGCCCTCCCAGTCTTGCCCCCCCCAAGCACCAAGAAGACAGAGCATCCCTTGCCCCAGACTGAGAGTTCCTACCTATACCTTGTGGCTAATAGCCGCTGATGGACCTCTGCTCCACATGCTTATCCAATTCCCTCTAACAAGAATATAAGAGACGCCAATGTTGGATCAGGCCAAAGGCCCCTCCAGTCCAACACTCTGTGTCACACAGTGACCAAAAACACCAGGGGCCATCAGGAGGTCCAGCAGTGGGG